ATGTTGAGATTGGAAAAGCAAGATAGGCTACTTAGTTTTAGCTTCAGTTCCTGAAAAGGCAAACTGGCTCTAACCTACCTGGTTTGCAACGCCTACTTTACTGTGGGTGATCGGTGGACACAATCATGGCAGAAAGCCGTCTCACTGGGATATAGGCTCTTTGACTCTAGTTGGCCTGTTGTGAGCGTGATGGGTTGGTAAATACAATAACATTCAGAAACCAAGTCAGTATGACAGAGGATCCCCAGATAGGTTTTATGCTGGGAGGAACGTTTCTGTAAAGTGGTCAGAGACTTGAGTTATGATACAGTATTAAGGCCTCTGTTTGTGGCATAGGTGGCAGAGACTGACAGTCACAGATATAGTAACGCATCCTACCAACTTCTCAGTCAGCCTCAGTGCCACTCAGCCAATCTTGGCTCTTCAAAGTAAGAAAGACAACTAGCTGAAGGAATCCCCATCATGATGTGAATGAAAAATAATATAATGTTGAGAGATGTTATATGTCAGGGAGTTCAGTTTTGAAAATTATATAATGTTCACTCAATCGATATCTTTGTTGTTGCCCTATCTGAAGTACTGTAAATGTCCCACTTTCTCTACCACCATACCCCTCCATTTTGCGCTAATGTACATTCACACAAGAACCTAATGGAATGTCTCTTTGAAGCATCTCCATGATAGTGTTTTGTGGTTTATATTTATTTATCCATTTGCTTTGTTTGTTTGTTTGTTAAGGGGAGGGAGGATTGATTCTGATTTATGATATTAATTTTGATTTGTTTGGGATTTTGTCAAAATTTTGGTTCCAGAGGCCAAACAGTACTAAGGTATGTGGCCAGTGGCTAAAACCAGTTCAGCCAAGTGAAATCAGGGACTCGTAGCTCTTTTGGTCACACAAACTACTATTGTATTGTGTATATACTGGACTGGAGTTGGTCTGTAAACCTGAAACATTCAGACTCCTGTCCTTATCCCCTGTTCAGATAAAATAAAAGTAAAAATTCACACCCTAAACATACTAGATCCATCATCGCTACCTTTGTCAGTGTTGTTTATAGATTAAGTCTTGTACATAAAACACAGTTTTGTATGAAGAGCTATTTTCGTCAGAATAAATCAGGGGACACATCAGGGTTGAATGCCCCAATTTCAAAATTGAAATAGTATCAAAAATAAAATATTTTACTTCTGAAATGGGCAAAAAAACATTTTTCTTTCCCTTTATGTTTTTGATACTAATTTGTTGAATTTTTATTCTTTTTTAAGGGTCTTTTGATGTTGTCATTTGTCCTATTTACTTTTTTATTATCATTATTTTGTATTTTGTTCATCCTCAAAAAAGTCATTGCATGCTTGCTAAAAGGGAAAAATTGAAGGAAAAAATGTATGAAAATCAAAAGCTGAAAAAAAAATGTTGAGGGTATCCCAAACATTTGTTTGAGTTGCTTGTTATAGCAATTGCTTGTGTTCAAAAGTACATTTTCTATGAAAAGAAAGCAAAAACTAAAAAGATCATTCTAACACCTTGTGCAATAAAGCTATCTTTCATACGTCATGGCTTCTGTCATTCTCAACAGGTTTGTTTGCATATCATCTCAACCTCGTAGGTGGCCACCGGGCAAAACTTTGTTGTTGGGCACCTTTTGACCTCCACTATACACAGCAGTTTCATTATTTCCTCATTCACCCAGAAAGAGTTGAAATGATCAGTTGATTAGTTGATTCAATGAAAATGAATGGCAACAATTATGAGAGTTGTTGAGAGTTGAGAGTTGTTGTCATTTTTAAGGAAAAATTTAAAAACTAAACTGGTCCCAGCTTCACAAATATGAATATTTGCTGTTTCAAAGTTTTCTATCATAGTAAACTCAAGATTTGAGGATCTTTGATTTACAATTTGAATATGTTATAATAATGATAAGCATAAGCAATAAGCATAAATAAGCAATAAGTATAATATAAGCATATTTTTCAAAATTTTCTGAGAGTTTATACACTGACTATTAAAGAAAATAGTCACTGATAATGAAAGTAATAATTGGTTGCAGCCTTACAGTTCTCAAGGTTTTGTATGTGTCAATTATGTGACACAAAAAAAGTTATTTCATAAAACACAACTTCACAATAAATCAGTTCAATATAAACTACAACAATAGAGGTCTTAAAACAAGATTTTGACCCAATGTCCATCCTCACGACCAGGGCCACAAGAGGGAGGACCTAACATTCTACTGCAGGGGTGCAAATTTCTAACGTTGTGATTAATCAAGTGTTGACAGAAACAGAGAAGAGTGAATCTGAGGCTTCTGGGACACCTAACAGTTATGGGTCCCTGGGCAGTTGCCCATTTTGGCAACGAGTAATGCAGCCCTCCCACCACAGACCACCAGATTTCAGCTCGGACTCAGTAATGCATTTTAACATGAAGAAGTCTTCAGAGAACTTGGGAGTTGAATCCGACATCTGAGGTGTAAAGAGTGGACCGGAAACGGTACATAAGTAGGTCATGAAGTCGTGCAACTTTTTCAAGTAACACATGAGAATCCACTGTCAGTACTGGTAGGGAAACAAAAACTCCCATGCCTTGGTAGCTTTACAGCTATGCAGCCACAAGATGGCGTCATAACATAATGTCCGACTCCCTCCACAGAAGTTAACAGATACTGTGACGAAAGTATTCTACCAAAAGAGTGCAGGGAGTCATGACGGATATGCTGTGAATAATTGATGTTTTCCAGAGTCACCTGTGCCTACATACTACAGCTTCTAGTTACTACAGCAAAGCTCTTTCATGTAATTTGTATTGTGTAGAATTAGCCTGTCTGTTAGAAGGATGCTTTACATAGATTCATCTTTAAATGTGATTATTTGTGGAGAGAATGCTGTTAATGTCATATTTCAATAGAGATTTTCTGATACTATTTATGTGAGATAAAGCAGCAGCCATATATTCATGCCTTGCTGTATTTGTTTAAACCTCATTTCACTATTGTAAAGTGAAAAAAGTAGGTTATAATAGCCTGTCTAAGCTGAAACAGGGTTTGATATTCCTTGAGTCTCACTGTTGTGTCAATATTAATTTAGCTGCTGTTGTGTGGCCCTGTAAAATAGATTTTTTTTTACAATGAAGGTCCAATGTCATTTCAAATTCTAAGTTCAAAAATTGTGGCAGTAATGGCTGGCCATACCTCTCAAATTGTTAAAGAATCAATGAAAGACATACATACACACACACCACAAGAATGCTGAGGACAATTTTACAAGATTTAATTTATTAACTATTATACAGTTCACATAAGGCCTTCATCTTCAAACACTATTCTCAGTCAGACAAATTCCATGGTTTGCTCTTGGTGCACAGTACATAAACTTTCACGTTTCAGCTATTTCACTTTAGTATTTGTTTTGTTCTTGTTCTAATTTCATGTTTTAAAACAGGAAGAGGCTTTCATCCTTCTCCCTTGGTGTGTGTCTTTTAAATCATGCACTAAACTTAAGTGGCCTTGAACCATTCACAAAAATTGTAAAAATGGACTTTCAATCATTGAAATACACACTAGAAATGTTTTCTACCATTGACTAAAGGGTGGTGTTCCCCAACATACAAATAAACAACCATTATAGAATAGTATGCACTCACTTTTTGCTCATTGAATGGCAGATCTGCCACATTTGTGTTGCAGTAAGATTATATACTCCCAAGAATTGTGTTATAATGGAAAAGCTGCTTGGTTGGTTGGTTCTGTGCCAGTCTTAATGTTACAGCTTACAGCTCTGAGCGGTTTGAGTAGAGCCCTCTGTTTAATCTGATGAACATATAAAATAACTGACTTCTAACAGCATTGCAATTCCAAAAGTACCACAAGTGATGATCCCAAATACTAATACAACCAATAATCTAACTAGTCCAGTCATTGTTGCAACCAAGAACCATAACAGAGCCACAATCATCCAGAACTTGTACATCTGATGTTCTGCTTTTACTCACTCCCATTGAAAAGATAGTGCTTCATCTCATAAGTTTAATTGTTAAAATTATCAGGTCTTCATTAACAGTGCTACCACTGAAAATGTGCTGCTTTTTTTCCATGAAAAGGGAGGACAATATGCCAGCACAAAACTAATTCACTAGAGCAGGTAAACGGCCGGTGCTTCCTGAATGTGTCTCATTCACAAATATTTAACTTCTACTGGTCATCGTATTGTATAGCAGGACTAGCAGTAACAGTGCGTTGAGAATACTAAACCTTCTGAGTTAAAGGTCCTTAATATTAGATGAATACAAAGAGCTTGGTTTGATAGACAGCCACAGCAACACATCCAGCAACCGATCATGTTTCAAGCGTTTGGTTCATATGGACACCAGATGGCAATGTAGAGTTGCGTTATGGTATGACTAGGTTACACTTTCAAAAATGGCAAAATTTCTCCTTCACTTGACTGATCTCTGATATTATAATGGTCTAATTAAACCAAACTTCCCTAAACATCCACTCTGATCAACCAACAGCTAGAAAGAGGACAAACTAAAAGAAAACTATTTTTCACATGGCTGGATGAATGAGGAATATAAGCAGATTCAGATTTCCCATAAATCTAAAATGGGACCTCTGGATCAACTTATAGAACATAAGTTTTTACAAAAGGATCTTGTTTCACAAGCCTGCACTGATGCCACACTCAACCACTAAACAAACAATATCGACAATTAATCAATGTGGCATTTCTTCAAATGTAACACTACACTATCAAAAAGTGCTTCAGATAAGTTTGTGGATACAAAAACAAGTTTGATGTAAACAAAGTTTGATCTGCCAGAGCTCTGTAGAGGCAATGAGTATGGCTGTTTGAGCTGTGAAATTAAAAACACACAAGAAAACAGTATGTTAACAAAAAAAAAAAAAAACCCTTTTGAGGGAAAAACAACAGTGATCATTAAAGTGCATCCCTGGATGTGTACCTACCCCTTCCCTTCCCTCCCCATGGTGACCCCTCAAGTAGAGCTGATGAGAGAAACCCCAAAGGCAGACAGAGGAACCTCTGCCATATGGAGCACACTGCTGCCCAAAGGACCTAAAGAGGAACAGTCTATAAATCCAGTGGCAGTACTTTCATGAGAAAAAAAAAAAAACTAAAACAGTTTTACACAGATAAAAACATGGTGGTCACAAATCATTTCTTCCAGCTTGGCATAGAGGTTCCTATTTCTTGGTAGTGTAGAATAAGTGGTGGCTGTTGACAGAAGAGAGGCTTGCTGTGACAGCGACCTCCGTCCTCCACTTCTGCCCTGATGTCAAATTCCAGGCGATCAGGGACTCAGAGGGCAGAGGGAGAGTCACTGCTAACGGTAGCCTGTCCTGATGCACACAAGTACGGATACAAATGGCAGGTTGGAGAAGTTTCTCAGACATTTCCTATCGCCACTCTTCATAACCTAGGTTGTCCATGATCAGAAATGTAGTGTGCAAGTGCACGTTTTTTTTTTTTCTTTTTTTTTTCTTTTAGTGCGTGTTGGTGATAAGTTCCAGCATCATCATGGGCACACGTGGTTTCATTGTCTCTCACAGTGTCTCTTGTTCGGCAGGGGAATGGTGGGAGTGGGGGTGCTGGTGGAGGGGAGGGAGCAGTGACTGCAGGGGAGACTGGGGGGTGGTGGGTGGGGACTGCTGCAGGGGGCTGAAGTGTGTGGTGGTGTGGGGAGGAGAGGAGCGGTAACAAGAGTAGGCAGAGCTCCCACTGAGGGTGGTGGTGGGTGAGGCAGGGAGGCCTGCTAGGCCGGTGGGGGAGTCGAGGAGGGGCTGGTTGTAAAAGAAGAATGCACACTGGTGGATGAAGGTCTCGATGATTGTCTGGTAGGTGCGTGTGGCAGTCAGGGCATCCATAGTGGAGAAGTCTGGCCTCATGAGAGTGGGCCAAAAGCAGATGGACAAGTTTTCACTGGTCATCAAGTTCACCCTGCTCAGCTGGCTCACCCTGGGAAAAACACACAATCAGACAACAATTGATTCATTTGCATCATATGGTGCAGGAAAAAACAGATGGGGGTCCACCGCAGAAGACCAACAAATCCATGAAAGTGATAAACAGTAAACAGGGTACTTACTTGTGTAAGTGGCTCACTACATATTTGAAGACATCATAATTCTCTCTGGGGAACTTCCTCAGGACATCCTTCATAGTGTATAGCCTCTGTTCTCTGTCATTGATTTCTGCACACATGGAGAGAAGTAAACATTAAATCTGAGGCCTCATTCATTGTACACAGTAATCTGAAGCTAAAATGTCTTTCTATACCATCATAAAAATGATTCTTGTCAACACTGATAAAACTAAAACAGAGCAAAGCAGGTCTGCGAAAACCTTCCCTTCCCTCTTTCCTCCAAAAGAAATAATCTTTCTATGTTCTAGTAAAGAACCTCCCAGCCCAGCAGTGTTTGCTTACTGAAAGCGTCCAATAGGTCCACCTGCAGAGCACAAGGCACCAGGGGCTCAGGCAGCTCAGAGAAGAAGCTCTTGAGGGCTCCAGCCACAGTGTTTATGGAGAAGTCTTTCTCCACAAGGTCTAATCCATGGTCTATGCAAGGAGAGTGAGAGAGTTAAAGGGATCAGAGAAAATAAGCCCATCAGTACTAGCCGTCATCAGGACCGAACAATCAGTTGCATGTCACTTTCTTTTGGTAACACTCTGTTTGTTTTGATTAGGCAGCTACATAATTACATGTCAAACAGCTGGTTCAAACAAGTCTGATGAGCAGCTCACCCTGTTCAAACTGCCTCTGCATGCTTTCCATCTCTGACTTGTTGCCACTTACGCGATACAAACCCTCTGTATTCAGACCTGAGGAAAAAAGAGCACAGCAGAGAAAAGGGGGAAGACGTGGGTGGGGGGGCACAGTGGGAAACAAGCAAAGCACAAACACTTCATTAGCCCCACTGCAAACAGACGTGACAATACAGATGCTGGCATTTTCTGGAGGAGTACTTAACTGAAACTGAATAAACCACTGTATTGCTTTCATATTGTTTCGCAATTGTGACCATGAACAGGTGCACTGGTTTAGGAGATCTAACAATAAGTATGTTTAGGTGACTAATAAATAACATTATTATTAAATAAGATGTTTGCTTGTAGTGAAGTATAAACACTGATAAATGCCCATTGACAGTATTTCTCAGAATAAAATTTTAAATCATATTATGAATACATCACATGCACAGCAGCACTACGTGAACAGTTAAAAAGAGGTTTAAGGAGCTATTTGTAAGTTTTGCTATTGCTACATAGACAACATTAGAAATAACAACTGTTTACTTATCAAGAGCTGTCTCTAGCGGTGGAAAACTACCCTCTTGTTTCCCTTCTATTTCTACCACTTCTTTTCTTCTACTGAAGTTAGCATGCTAACCACCTAGCTCCAGCTCAGTCAGACCATTTCATCACTTTCTGATACTGAGTCACTGTAGCATCCAGTCTGCCCTGAAGAATAGTGACCCTTTCCAGAGGGTGTATTATAACCCCTTGTATTGTAATCACAATGATGGCTGAAGCCCTTGACAAGACTGGTAAGTAAACCGTTGTTAATGCTAACATTGGCTATGTAGTGATAGCAAAACTCACAAATAGCTCCTTTAAAAAGACAAAACAGCTTACCTGTTGTCTCAATGAAGCGGACACACTTCTCGATGAAGAGTGGGATAGGTCTATCTGGAGATACCACATTTACAAGTGGGACCCCAAAATAACTGCTCTCCGGGGGCTTGGGAATAGCAGGACGGGGCTTTGGTCTTGTTTTCTGTTGAGAAGGGAAGACAGAGGACTCTGACTGTCTCAAACAGGGATAATTATGTTGATATTAAGTGTCACTTATTGGCCTCTAACTAAATGTGGTGTTCCCCATCAGCAGCAAATCAACAGTTCCTCACATCTAGTCTAAAACTTGATGTCTAGATCCTCCCCAGGACATATTAAAATTTAAACATACTCAAGATTGATCTCAATATATTTTATGCTAAATAACATAATAGCTCTATTATACCTACAGAAATTACTGTAGTCTTTCATAAGGACAATATTTAAGAAAAGATAAAAAAAAGCAAGTCATTTGACACCAATGTCTGTATGACATTATGGACAAGTAAATGAAAAGTAAGCTATTTTCTCTGATTAAAACATAAAAAGGTGGTGCGATACAAACCTTGGCTGTTCGTCGCAGGCTCTTCAGAATGTTCCTCTTTTTTGGATCCTCACTCTCCTCATTAACAAGACTTTCTCCTTTCAGGGTCCCAAAGTCATCCTCCTTGGACTTGGGAAGAGCTCCCATCTCATCATCGCTGCCTATGAAGCTTGTGCGGAAGCTGCTGAACTTGCCAAGTCGCTTGGAACGGTCACGGTAAAGACGAGGCTTCACCCCCACTGCTGAGAACTTCCTCCTTCGCTCGAGAGAGCTGCTGTCTGCCTCACTGTCTGAGCCATTTCCATTCGAGTGCATCCTGTTAGAGTTACGGATGGTGATGATTTTGCCTTGTGTGCTGTCATGTGGCACTGAATAGATGATCTCTTCATTGCTAGGGCGGGGTTTTGAAACAGCATCCATGGGTTCAGCATAGTCAGAGGGATCATAGCCTACATCGCCACCAGGGACCCAGGTAACAGCAGATGGTAGGGAACGACGATGTCCTAGTGTATCAATATATGGGTTACGGCTTACCTTCCGGAAGTCAAAAGTGACACCCGGTTTAACTCTCACTTGGGGGGGTACTTTGTTGTTGAGTTTGTTCTCAAAGTCTCTGATATCCGAGATGACAGAGATGTCACTGGAATCTAAGTCAGGCAGGTTGAAGCCCCCACTATGAGAAGTGAGCGTGCCATCATAGTATGGTGGTGATGGCTCTACATCATCCTCTGAATCCAGGAACATGGTGACAGGACTGGGAGAACTGCAGCGTGGCGAGTACACATTTTCATTGGTGCATGCTTCAGCAACATTATCATACATGTGTGTGGCCTCCACAATGTTACGTTTCTCTACCACCTCCATCAGAAAAGAATGGAACATTTCTATCCTGTGCATGCCTCCCACTACGCCCCCAGATCCACAAACCACACTATTGAAACGACCCTCAATCTCATGGGCTAGCTCCTCCCCCTGGATCAACTGTTCACAGGCATAGTCGCTGTCAGTGAGCTCTGCCTGGCTATCTCCCACTGCCAACAGCTGAACTGGGATGATGTCTTGAACCTCACATAAGAATGCACAGAGAGTCTCCAGGGAAGCTTTTCGAGAGACCGAATACACTGCAATGTAGCCGTGTACTAACCTGCTCTTACGCAAAGTGAAGGAGGCGTGGTATGAAAGCAAGGACAGCTCAATAGCCAGCTTGTGTCCACCCACTGTCTGCTCCAGCAATACAGAGGTGCCACTATTAGACATGGGCCTGCAGTGCTGATGCATTAGGAAAGGGGATAGGAGCTGCTCAATGTCATAGGAGTCTCCACACATTAAACACATGACGACACGAAGGTCTGCCTCAGGGACTGGCTGATGAGGAGAGTCTCGGAGACCTTGCGGCTCAGGGAGGAGGGGTGGGGAGCTGCTACTAAAGGATGTGCTCCTCCTAATATCCAGAAGGCTCCTCAGCACCTGGTTGATTTGACTCTCATTGACATTATGGCCATATCCCACACCAGGGGAGGCAGGGTCTAAAAAGCTACACTGCAGCCTTCTTGCAACCTGCTGTCCCTGTGTTATTAGGTTTAAGGCAGTTTCTCCACCTATATCCACATATGATCCTACACCTCTTTTAGTGACTAAAAGCAGTGATGTTGGCAGTTGTGCCAGCTGGCTATCCCTTCGACCTAGAGTTGACTCCCTAAGTCGCTCAAGGCTTTCAACCACATAAGAGAGGGACTCTTTTGAATTGTAAAGACACAGACATCCGTGAGGGGTGAAAGTGGGGGTGTGGAAGGAGTTCACTGGAAGACGCACATTTCCCTCAATAGGCCGCAGTGTTAATTCATACATCTTCCCATCTAACACGTACCAGTCATCATTTGTGCAGAGAGCCCTAATCTCATTAGCAAATTCTCTGGCCAGTCCATCCTTCCCTAGTATGACTAGGTTAATTCTGTCAGCCTTGGTGTCTCCAAAATGAGCTTTCACATCAAAGAAGGGGTAACACGTGGGGAAACGTGAAGCTAAGAGTTGCTCAATCTTGGAGTCTCCGCAGTGAGGACTGCTAGGGCAGGTCTCCTTGGTAGGATGATAGACAAAGTGGATATGCTTCAGCACCAGAGCATCTCTTTCAGCTGGAAGCTTTTGTAGTGCCTTGAACCTCTGTTCCTCGCCCAAAACCTCCTGAATTGCCCCCATCTTCTCTTTGCTTGGTTTGGCATCTACCTCAAGTTCATAAAAAAGCTCAGAGTACTCCAGTAAGAGCTCCTGAAAGTCTTCTTTAGCTCGGTCAATGATCTCCTTCTGATGGCGGTTGTACAGGTCCAAATACTCTGGCTCCTCAAGCCACTGGTAGAATTCTTCATTCATGATAAAGCTGCGTGCCTCCTCCCAAGGTTTACCAGGTGTGACAAAGGGAGATGAAGCTAACTTCTGTTTAAACTCCAGCCTCATCTCTGCTCGTCTGCACTCATTACGCAGATGTTCCAGGTGGGCATTAAATATGTCCTCTGCTTCAGCAGTTTCCAGTAGGTCTGAGGGGATTCGCTCATCTTCCATGTTATCAATGTGAGATGTATCCTCCCATGGTGAGTCTTCCAGAACAACAAACCAGTGGGCAAAGTGCTGCTTGGACTCTAAGACCTTCTGTACCCCAGACCAGCTTAACTGATCTATTTCATCCAGGTCAGGCACCAAAGAACTAAGTGCTAAAGGAAGAGTGCTTAAGTATATTTTCCGACGCCTCTCAATATGTTCCTGCTTCAGACGGTAGACATGCTGTTGAAAAAGCTTCTTGCATTTAGCTGTTCCCTCCAAGAAGACATATTCTTTGTACTCTGGGGAGGTGTTCATGCGTCGACTGGTGTTTAACCAGGTTTCATTATGATTTTTTACAATACGGTTGATTAGCCATTCATAGCGATCCTTGGCAGAAGCTATCTGCTGACTCTGGAGCTTAAGGGCTTCAAAATAAGGAATGATCTTGGGCTTGCCCCTGCTCTTATCGATAAGTTGAACCAAAGTGAGGAAGGCAAGGTCCACATTTATATTTGAGCGTGCAGACGTCTCAACTACTGGTAGACTCTTTTTTGTGATCGCAAAGGTATGTGCATCTTTGATGTAGCGTTCAACCCCTTCATCACACTTGGTGAGGACCAGCACAATGGGCTTCTTCGTCTTGCTAAGCTGACCATACAGGTTTGTGACAAATTTCAGCTGGTCATCAAAGTTGCGGTTCATGCCCCGGCTGACATCAACACAAAGCAGGAAACCATCAACCTGCAGCTTGCCCTCAGGCATTTGTTTTTGCTCAAAGTCTTGCTCCAGACCCAGCTGATCTGTACAAAAGTACATGAGCTTCTCTGCCGAAGCCAGCTTGGTTGCGGCTGCCCGTTTGATATAAGGTTGCATAGCAGTGCTACGGTGTGGCTGAAACGTCTGGTCATCAATGAATTCAGTTTGTTCCACGACATGCATCCTGCACTCAGGCCCCTCCTCCAGAACCCGTGATACCTCCCCCCAAAACAGAAAGTGATCATTATTAACCACCCGACCCCCAAAGTCACTGGTGCTCAACACTGATGTGTGGTCCAAGTAGAAGTCGTCAGCACTAGGTCGGACAAACCTATTACACAAACAGGACTTTCCAACCCCACATTGCCCCTTCTCTTTCTCTGTTCCTGACAAACCCACCACAATGAGGTTGTAAATAGGCAATCGGGCATCTTGCTTTTTCGCCATCATAGTCTGCTGACGATCATCCTGCCATAAACAGGCACTGTATAAAGTAGATCACTTGAATGTTTGTCCATAAAGTTGCTGATCCGCAGGGGAGATCAGATTTCACTTTCTTCTGGGGGGGTGGGGCTTCGATTTTAATAAATAGCAGTGCAGTGATATGAGCAGAGGGTTCTTTCATTCATTCCTTATATGAATCAGATCCTGTCAAAAAAACAAAAAAACAAAAAAGCAATCAGACAAACTGGGCAATCAACAAAAATACATTTCATTTTGAAATAAAAGGGAAAACAAGAGAACATTTGTAGAAACCCCAATAGGACAAATGTCACTTCCTTAAACCTGTGACATATTAGGCGACTATGATAAAAATAAAAACATATCACTGTTAAAACATGCTTCTTTATGTGGTAATGGACTAGTGGTATTGACAGTACCTTTGCTTACAAAATCTTATTCCATTTTGTGCCAAATTTCTTTGTATACCAAATGATATTGAAGGAATGGACCCTCTCAATGGTGAAGGCCAGGTATAATGTTTAAGAGCAACTAGTTTTGGCTCTTTGATTCTGAGTTCAAATGGTTATTAGGCTCCAATTACTGCCCACTATAGCCTTGATCATGTGTCGAGTATGATCATTTGCCAAAAACAACTAATATGTGAAATCACTGCATTATTATCATTGTACACACCAAGTTGTCATCAAACACTGCTGTAGTTTTGCCATCATATCCAGCCAGCAACAAAAGCATAATGTGTGTGTGACAGTGTTACAGGACCAGTAATGGCAACCAGTCACAATATCTCCCAAGAGAGGTTGGGAGTTCAGTTGCACAAGTAAACTCAGTTTTAAATGAGGAAGCACACTGATTTTTTGCCAGTTTCATTAAATTCTCAGGCAGATTTATTGTCAAAAATGCACATCACTTCTGTGTATGCCTGTCTGGAAAAAACCCAAAACCCACGGGTATTCAGTTTACTATCACAGAAAACTGAGCCAGCAAATATTCACGTGAGAAGCAAGACCAGTGATTTTTCTGACATTTTTGCTTAAATATTTCTTCACTTTAAATATTATTATGATTATCAAATTCTTGTCAATCAGTGTTAAACTGATCAACTAACTGATTGAATCATTTCAGCTCTGGTCCACTGTTTTAAATTCCTGTAAATCATCAAACTAGGATCAAAAGAATTACATTAATCCAACCAGAAAACTTGTGGGAGTGGTGCTCTTTAAATGACAAAGTCAGCTGATCAGTGAGTAGGGTGACAGGCATAAAAATGACTGTTGTTATCACCTCAGTCTCTATTTTTCAGCCTAACTAATCACCTTTCCCAGCTAAATGAAACAACAGCTATCAGCACCATCTCCAAAAACAGTGAATGAATGAATAACTTGCTAACAAAGTCACAGACACATGCACAATCTATGCCCAAGGAAAATTCATCTGCCCACCCTGTTAAGACACTTAATGTTGAAACTTATTATAGCATTGATTCAGGCTTCCATTATTATAGGAGCCTACTGATGCAATTCTGATACAATAGTCAGCTCATAGTTCCTTTAGATGGGCGCAAATGACCAACCAGAATTTCACGTATGTGTAACATGACTCACTGGAGTCAAACATCACTACAAAAAGAGGAAATACAGGCTCATGATGACACGAATAAATTGTCACATGAAGTGATCACACATTAGAAACAGCTCTGGCAGGGTCAAAAGCAACCGGCAGCTCAGCTGAGCCAGGCCTGATATCCGAATGAACAGACAAGTTCTTAGCAAATAAAAAGAACCAAACAGCCCTATCTAGCAACATCAAAACACGGTCTACTTAAGTGCACCTTCAAGCAATTTCATTTACATAACGTACTTACCCAGACAAGATTTTGTAACGTTATATGTTGCAAAGGATTAACAGTTAACATGGGCTTTAGGGTGCACAGAGAGGGGCTGACCACGCCAGGCCTGCTGTCTACATAATGAAATTAGAGCCGAAATCAGGGTTAGCCTACCTTATCCACACCGACAGACAATGTTAAAAGGGAATTTATTTACCCAGCTGTCTGGGGTTTAGCACTCGATAGCCGCACAAGGAAATCGCCCATAAATAAGAGGAGAGAGCATGTAGGGTACATACCAACGCATTTCTCCCTTTCTCCTCTTGCATCTGTCAGGCCAGCGCTTGCCGCAGCCCTCGCCGCCTGATGTGCATAAGCATAAAGCCGCAGAATACACTATGGCTCGTCTCAGATCAGATAATACTGATAATACTGTGCGATGGGGTAATTTGAATTAAATATCAATTACCCATGTCTGGAATCTCTTATTTAACATTACTGTTTTCGTTGTAATTAAACACGGGGAAGGAAGAAATAAATATCCCAAATAATAGAACAATCCACTTTTGTTCCTGCAAGAGTTTTTCCTCATGAGAAATTCGGGCGTATAAAAATCTTCTTAGCCGTCTTCTTCTCGGTTCACCACGTTGCTTTTTCAATAATTATTCTGTCCATTGTTGTGCCCACATAATGCTGGGCCGGTCGCGCACACGAGACAACGGTGAGTTTGTTGCAATCCCCGTGGTGCTTCGTCTGAAATATGCTTCCTCTGCAACAGAAATTGTTCATGTCCAGCTCAAATTATGAGCAGATCGCGTGTGTGAAAGTGGTATTTCTGCCAGCTTTCCAATAATGGCGGCGGCCCTCCTCCCCGGACCTAGTTCTCCTCTTCTTTTCTTTGGGAAAAGGGAGCTGTGGATACAGAGGCAGCGGAGAGAGGGACTCACCCAGCGGCGCCCTCACACAACTGCAGCAGATCGGTTCTCTGCTGCTAGCTCACCAGTATCCTGCTGCCTATGCGGGTTCGTTACTCAGAAGTAATCGATTTCTCAGAAATCAGTCAATATTTCATAAGTATTGCCACATTTTTTACTCCATACTCGCCTGAGAGCAGCCATTCTTTACTGTGATAAATTATCTCCAATCACACTGCTTAAAACTGCTTCATATTGCTTAATATTAGCTAACTTACCTCAATAGCGCCAACGGCAGCACTAACAGAAGTCTGTCTGCTTTTGGTTTTATTGTTTTTGTTACTACAAGCTTGTAGTTAAAGCGAAGAGAGTAGATTTTATGAGTGCACAAACAATGTTTTCATGGGGTTAAACTAACTTTCGGTGAAGATTTATATCTGGTTTGTAGTTATTGTGATATGAGGAAATTGAGCATTATGTAGGCTATTTTACTAACTAATAGCTAGTGTATTGTTTTATCTTATACCAATGTTGATTATTTTATCTTACACTTTTTGATGTAATGTTAGTTTCACCAAAAAGTGCAGACAATAAAGTAAATGGAGAATTATAAAGGGTTGTAAAAGATTACAACTACACAGCTAACGTTAGCTAGCATTAAGTTATAGTCCTTAACAGTAGTTGGTCACTGTATCGGTGGTATATTAATGGTAAACACTTGTCAGTCCAGAGACAAAGGTTAGGTCTTGGAACAACTGTATAGCTACTGGGCATATATAGGCTACTAGGTCTAGTGTTGTTACATACTAGTCTAGGCCTGCAGGATAGCAATATAAATACTTCATTTGGAATAATGAAAAGGCATAGATCACAACAAAAACGTTGTTATATAATATCTCATAAAGAGAAAGTGATAAAGTAAATAAACAGACAGAAGGAAATGAGACTGCAGCATACACAGGATCCATAACAGTTTCCCAAAGGTCAAAAGCAGATAAAGGAATATAATTTATATAGGTATTGCATTCCAAAGCATCTAGACAGTTAAGTGTAGTGGAGGCAACCACGTAAAGTACTGTACCTACCTCTACCTAGAGTCTGATAGACTCATAAATTGGCCTGTACAAGGTCAGGGATTTTCATGGTGTATTAACCACTCAGCTCTCCCACCTTTAACAGAGGCAGACCAGACATCAGCACCATATGGCGGTCGTTGCGATGCGTGCTCTACTCCCCCCCGCCCCCCCGAGTTGCGCAAGAGTGCAAGGGCCAGTTCATCGCAGCTTTAATATCTGATTACTTTTGGCAGACTATTAATTTTTGCGTTGTCGCCTCCTAGCGGATTTATAGGCCATAATCTTCTTGAAATCTCTCACCTTTGCAATGGAGGCATAACGCGGTCACAGTTTTTACCTTCTATTAAGTGCTCTTGCTGAGCTGTAATTTTATCCGTTTGGATTCAGCAGTTCCGAGTGGGAGTGCATTTAGACTAAAGGAAGTCAGCCTGGTAATGAACAGTGTAGTCCAGGAGCTTCACATTCAGCTGTACAAATAACCGAAACTGTGGTTACCACCAGACTGCTGCTCCTGCTGCTGCTGGAGGAGTATATGGAAGAAGCTGTTCACTGTTCAGTTTCACCATGGTCGATCATATGCTCTGATGACTAACTGAGAGGAGGTAGGCACATTTATGTGTATTGCATGTATGTGTTTCTGCATGTGTCTACATTTTTTTATGCCATTTTTTTTCATGCCGTTTTCTTGTCATGCTTGTACTGTGTTTCAGTAATTAAAGCTTTTGTGCTTGAAGGTGGCATAAGAAAATAAAAGTAGAGCTGTAACAGTGCAAAATACTATTATGAGGAAAATAGGAGTACTGTTGTCTTTACAGCTATCCTGTTATAAACTTAGATAAGGAAATTTTCATGTGTTTGTGATGTTTGATGAAAAGTCATTAGGATTCAGCTTGTGGGAAAAAAATTTAATTGCATTCCATCCGTTTTGCAAAAGCAGAGGAATAGGAGCCAGTGCAGTGTAATTGATATCATTACCACTAGGAAGAGCCCTAAGCCTTCATATAATTCAGAGAATCAAGAGGAGTTGATGAAGTGATAAAGTCATGCTTGTTGTCACAGTGATCATCCAAGGAAAGTTAAATTATTTACCTCTTACTCATCCTCATGTTGATGGAAAGCAGACTAAAGATTACTACATCACCAGTTTATATTTGTTCCTTTTGCATTTTTGTTTCTAAATTTCTGCTACAGAAAAAATGTGTTTCCACAGCTTGTTGATTTGCAGGGTTTTGTTTTATGCCTTGATCAATTTATGAAGTTGCCTTTATGGTGTAACAGGGATCTGGGGGATGAGAGGCAGTAGAGGTGAAAATAGGGTGAAAGGAACAGCAGATG